ATGTTGCTTTCTCAAAATTTTTTTTGAAGCACTCACGTGGGTTAATTCTCCGTTTAGTTGACGCACTTTTCAGCAAAAACTTGGGGAGTATGAAGAAGATGCATTTTATAGAAGCGAACAAAAGCTTTATAGTTTTTTAGATTTACTGTGCGAGTTTATCCGGCTGTAATCTGAAATTGCGAGGGGCTGCATGAAAATATCACTTGTATGTGATCGCTCGTTTCAGCGGAAATTCTGGAAATTTTCCTGCAGTTCGAAAATGCATGAATCCTCTGAGTTTCAGTCCTTTAATATAAACAGACTGGAAGAAGGCTATGTTATTGGGTCATTGTGTGCCAAATTTTTCTTGAAGCTTTTCACCTATTGCCAAAAGAACTACAGTATGATTCTCGAGATGATTTAGTCAGTATTTATATTGAGATGATCACGTGGAATGTCCCTGTTTCTTCCTTCACTTTTCCCAAAGCAAAAAACATGCTTCACTCTCAAGAGAATACAAAAATGCACTTTCAAAAGTGCTATAAGAAAAAGTTTAGTCCCCACCGTTTTCAAAGTTCTTCCTGTCACTCGAACAGTCATTAAGTCGTAAAAGGATGAATAATCCAAGGACTGCGGGTACTTCTAGTTGAATCAATGTTGACGTAATTATCCAGATTGCCCAGTGAGTGAGTGGGTGGGGGAAAAAAAAGGAGAAATTAATGTGTTGCATAACTGAACTTATTATTGCTGAGAACGGGGGAGGACGGGGATTGTTCAATTACCGCAAACGCCGTCATTGGCGTTGGCGAAGCGGAATGAAAAACAAATTAGGAATAACGACGCGGGGATTCCTCACGCGTCTCCGTTGAATTGCCGATTTTAATCACCTTCGTCCCAGGCGTCCAATTAACCGAGGGCCGTGCTTCAACAAATACGAGTGATCAAGTTGCCCCCAGTAAGCAAAAAAGAAACAGGAGAGATGAATCAGCCCCCGACTCCTCTCTTCTTTTTTTTTTGCGCTCTCTTTTCTCCCTTCACTCGAGTCCGTCCTATTAGTGGGTCTAATTAGGTATCCTATCCTTTGTCGACGCCAAAGTTCTCAGCAAGCGTCTGTTGTGTTCCTCCTTCCTTCTCTCTTCCTTTTTTTTTCTTCTGAGATGTGTATGTGTGTAGAGATTTTCCGCGGCGCAATTAAGCCAGTGCCATGAATTTCCCTAGCGGGTAGCTCATCAGCATTCCTGGGCAACATCAACAATTACGGCTTCCTAAATGAGCATTCAGTCCTCTGGCTGCGCTCCGGGGAGCCCCTGTGAAGAATCAGACGCGAATCGGTCTCGTTAAAACTTTTTGCATTGCTCATTGCAAGTTGCCACGAAGAAGGAGGGAATGGGTCTCGTTGATGATGGGGCCGGGGGGAACAGGCAGGAATTTCAAATCCCGCCGATTTCCCGCCGTTTCAATCTACAGTAGGATTTTCTATGAGTACTGTATATTTGTACTAATGACCGAGTGCTTTCGTCCGGATAGTTGAAAAAAAAACAGCATAACCACATAGGTAATAGAAAAATTTAAAAAGCAATCCTTCGTAAGCACTGTACATTTTACATTAGCCTACTTAATGTATCGTAAGTTTGGACACAAGGTCCTCGTTTGATATCCCTGGGCATATATACGGAGTGCAGTACTATTCATCGAACGTTTTAAGAATCAGTCTTCACATTTCGGAAATTTTGTTCCCGTTCTTTTTTTTTTCATGGTAATTTTACATAAATCGTCGAGTGAAATTTATCGATCTTCCGTAAATGGGTGAAAGTAAGTTCCTTAATAATGCATCGTTTCCTCTTTTTTACGAGTTGAAATTTGTTTGAATTGCAAGTTGAACATATTTTGAATTGTGGTTTGAAATTTAAATTACAGAATTTCACATCATCGCGGCGCTGAGAATTTCTAGAAGAACCTGCGCTCCTGCCTTCGACACGTTGAAAGCAGGAACGAAAGTTGGAAAAGTAGCTGCATTTCTCCACGCATTTTCTTCCATGTTTTGTTTTGCAGAATTCAGGAGGAATGCCAGTTTCAACAATCGGTTTCGTAGGCAATAAAGATACCATTATTCCGCACTTCAGCGGAAAAAAAGCGAGTGCCATTCTCCTCTGTTAATACTTTCACGGTATAATTAATTGGAAATTGAAATAATTCAAGGCCCTTTTTTGCAATGGCCCACTATAATGACCAACTACTGTATTTCATTGTGGTTAAATGTCAAAGCCAAGCTCTTTTTTTCCATTGCAGGCAGTCATTTTCGTCACGGAAAAAAAATGGGTCGAGTTACTGAAATAAAATGAAAATTAATTTTTCAACGCAAGACGATTTCATCCTCGGTTTTTGACGTTCCGAAGTTCCTGCTTTAGAATCAATGCGCCAAAAAATAAGACACCATGTACAAATGTAACTCAGAAATTCAGGGAAGGTGGAATTCGGAACACCGGAATTCTTGTGTCTCAGAAAGAAGCGGTATCATACCTGGCGCAGGCAGAAGAGGATTTTCTTCTTCTCCCGGATGCGGTGTAACGAAACGCGTTTGTCACGTCGACGGGCCGCTCGTCTCATCCCACGCTGATGAAGACGAGACGACTGCAACAACTGAACAACTACAAAAAAATAAAAGAAGCATACATGCAAGCAAATCACTGTAATATTAAAAATACAATGCGAGAATTTTAATGTCATGTCCTGAATCCCATCCACGAGACGACAAGCAGGTGGACTGAAAGGAATAGGGATGCGAAAGGGACCGAGAAAATGAGGAAAACTTGGTGAGCGTGAAGCCGCCTCCGCGCGCGCGTTCAGGCCGTCGCAGTGATTATGATGGACGGCTGTTGACGACTCGAGAAGAAGAAAAAAATGAGAGAGGGAGAGAATACGGAAGCATTTCCGCTCCACGTGGTTTCTAAAAAAGTTCCATTTATTCTGTTCGTCTTACAGACGGAACTGTTTCTATTTTCCATTAACGCTGGTGGTATATCTTTCCCGTCTCTTCCCATTTTCGTTTCTCTCCGCCGACACGCCCGTCCGAAGGTTTTGTTCCACACAGCTGCGACCAGTCGTCGGATTAACATGCAGTTTATTATCCAGGAAGCTTGACAAGGGATTTACCCAAAAATTGGAAGCTATATAGGGATTTAAACAAAAAAAGAAAAAACGTGGGAATTAGTGCCAAAATCTCTCAGATTATTATGATCCTGCGGGGGTGAGTAATTGGAGGAGACCAATAAGCCATGGACATCCTGTGCAGTATGATTCTATAAACCAGATGCGCCTGAAATCAATTCTAATTTAATTTGAAACTGACCTTACGATGATTTATGATTTGATTAGTTCACTACAACTGCAAGATTCAAATAGGGAAATATCCTTCGAAATACGATGCAGGGTATCCAGAATGGTTTTTACGTGTTCTGCGCAATGCGAAAAATACAGTATGAATCAATGCTTTGGCATTTTCCGTTTTTGCTTCTTCTAACTCAATACCGAATACCATCGTTTCAGTGTCTGTAGGTGTCACTGCCAATTTCAAGTGCGTTTCTCGTTTTAATCCTGGGTATTTCATAAAAATATGCTTCCGGGTATGTTCATGACTCACGTGATTCCTGATGACATTCCTTGATATAGATTGATATGAAGCAATTTTTTGGACCAATCGTTCATTAATTCTACTTGAATTTTCTTAAATGTTGATATTCTGGGCGTTAAATGCAATCCTTTTCGATGGTTTGAATTCAATTTAAAATATTTCGATCATCCCAGCGAGCGGATAATCGGAGTACTGTTGCATTAAGAAAACGTTTTGTTCATAGTTCAAAACCTCTAGAACAGTTCTCGAAATAAATTGCAAACGTTGTCGTGCGGGACTCATTATGTATGCACGAACCGAATCAGGATTTAAAAACAAAACCAAAGAAAAAAGGCCACACGCAAAAAAAAAAATAACTAAATAAACGTATTCACCCCACCCCCAAACCAACAAACGAGACGAGAGACTGGGAAAAAATTTCCATCTCGCCACTTTTGCGATAACAATCCAGAGGATTTTGTAATTTCCGAAGGAGAGGCCTTTGAGATCCGCCGCTGCCGCGCGATTGGATCGAGGGCCCGCGAGGAATTCGATTACACGCGGAATTTTCCTCCGGATTTCTTTCCGAATTAATCGCGAGTCCAAATTTTCCTCTGCTCTGCCCCCGGAACGAACCAACCGCGCAGCTTGTTTGCCTCGGCCCTAAAACCCTCCTTTTCCGCCGGCTAAAAAAGAATAAATAAACGAAAATAAATAACTCGGCTTGTCGGTGACGATCGTGAGGACGAGGGAAAAAAAAGCATAATCGTTCCCCGACGCGGTAATCCAGTGACATTCACGATTTATTTTTTCCGATTCTTGCCGCGCGGAATTCCGGAAGGAAAACATCGTGAGCAAATGTCCAGTTGCTGCGAAAGCCGCGTTCGTCGTTGAAAAAATTAATCGGCGCGATACTTCGAGTAAAAAAATATTGTCGCAGTTTTGCCTCTCAAGTGTGTCACTCTGTCGAAGTCCTTTTTGGAGGAGGAATATGGTCATGATTAAAAAAAGAAATGCAACAATTATGACAATGTCCTGAACATTTTTTTAAATTATTGATCACCCAGTTTGAGAACGGAATTACAGTACCGTCAATCTGTAAATTTCCTAATGTATATTCTGCTCATGCGCACCGCACTGAAGAAAAATTAATAAACTTAGGACGACTCAGTGCAGCTTTTAAAAATGCACGTGTGACTTGTCGGTGACATCTACTCACCGTAAAGTGGCTGTTTTTTTTTTAGTGGAATCGAAGAATCAGAAAACCGTATCATGTGGATCTTAAATTTATCTTTCAATAAAATAACCTCAATGTTGCGCGTGCGAGCATTTCAGAAAGTTGTGCGCTGTAAAGGGTGCCAGTTGCTATTTTAAATCATGATTCATACAAACTGAATATCAACACTGAAAAATGTCGTTGCTGAAAGGGTTCTCTCAGATGATTTAATTTTCGCCGACTGCTTCCATTTTTTGTGCAGGCTGTTCGGCAACACGGGCAACTGCGCTGCGTGTCACAAGATGATCCCGGCTTTCGAAATGGTGATGCGGGCCAGGAACAACGTTTACCATCTCGAGTGCTTCGCTTGTCAGCAGTGCAACCACAGGTGAATTCCCATGCCGCTTCGAATCCGATTTTCCCGCGACTGTGCTGTCGAGGCTTTCTTCCTTATTTTTTTGTCTGTCTTCGGTTTTTTTTTTAAATTTCCCCCCGCTTCCACGTGAATTTATGAAACGGAGTTTTGAATTTTGCGGTTTCGTGTTCTGTTCCTCCTTCAAGGTTCTGCGTAGGCGATCGATTCTTCCTGCTAGAGAATAAAATTCTGTGCGAATACGACTACGAGGAGCGGATGATCTTTGCGAATCTCCCCTACGAGCCCAGCGCAAAGCAACAGAGGCAGGTCAGTGTGATCATATTTTCTCTGGATACATAGGCGTCGACAAGACTCGTGGAAATACTGTACGATAATTTTTAGGTTTGGCAAGACGACGGTTTCTCGAACGGATTTGTCTAAAATAAATTAAATCCTCTTTCGCTCGAGCGGACTTGAGAAATGCATTGGTAATCGGAACAGTTGAATTATTTTACTTCGGGAAGATTTTTGGCGTAAAAAACGAGGTGCTTGAATCACTGATGTACGACTACTAGGATTTACAAGCCACTAAGATCCCGGAAGACAAATGACTCAAAATTTGAATTCGTGTTATGTGTATTATTGTACCGCTCAAAATTAACCAAAAGCTCGCGATTGAACTGTTTTATCATCAATAAAGCCCTTGAAAATACATCTGAGAAATCAAAGAGCAGTTTTGTCAGACTTGGAGGAATATTGTTTGCCCAAGTAGTGAATCATAACGAGTCTATCCAAGTTCGATAATTTTTCTTTCATCATTTATCCCCTCATTGGGAGTCCCTCACATAGTTTCCAATTTCATATATATTTCATTCATATATATTCGTGGTGTGATAATCAGCAGCAGAAGAACGTTTAACCTAATTCCATCTGCCTGAGAACAAAAAAATTCTTCGTGACTCGGAAGACTTCTCAGTTTTGCGAAGTGTTGAATTCGAAACTGAACTCAAGCGTAAAATGAAGGTTACATGACTCGCACAGTTTATTTTCCGAGTCGAGATAAAAAAAAAATATATATATATATATTCTCGCCAATATTAGTACTGTGCCTATTTTTATTTCTCTCCGAAGTCCGGTATTATTGTCGGCTGTTCATGCGATTGATTGATTTATCCGCTTTTAAATTTGATTTAAGTCGAGTGTATGCTATATTTCTTTTCAAGGTAGCAACGGAAATTTACAGGTGCCCATAAATTCCGAAATTATCTTATTTTATCGATCGATTATCTGCGCTCGTAACTTTCTATGATCCCTTGAGTTGAGTGTTCGACGTCCATGAAAAATATATATGTACTGTACTGTACTTCAAGGCGATTAAATTTCCTGAAACTTACTTATTTCAGCGTCACAAACCGTGAGGTTTAAGTTTGAAGCGGATCAGGCATATTTTGAAACCTTCCTTTAATGGTACGACAGTTTAAGAGTCCATCAAAATTCATGGCAAAATCGTTTAATGCCCTCTTATCCTTGGTATTGAATTTATCAAATTACGATCTCGTTGCCCAAGTGTTTGCTGATGACTGAAAATTGCTTCACATAGAAGCTGATAAAATTTCTCGGAAAGGTCAGACCGATTTGAAAAATGTCGCACTAAAATTTAAATGCATTTTTTATCAGAGCGGAAGAGCCTTTAATAATGTACATGAGAACATTTGGTGTGATGGATAACCAGTAGCATTATTGGCCGATGAAGGCCATTCGATGACCGATGGCTTTTTCAAATTGATTCTAATCCCTTTCGAAAAGTAATAAAGTCTCAATCGAGCAGTCGTTGGAAATACTTCGCGAAATGATTCAATTGAATTCGAAATCAACATTTTTTCAAGATTTAAGAATTTCCCGTTTTCTGCCCGACTTTTGTCTCCCGAATTATGAAAAAAAAAGCCAATTTGATTTGAAAAATTTTCGCGATCCTTGTTCACTCCGCTTCGTCTGTTCCAAACTACAGTACTCCATTTTCGTTGATATGGTAGAAAATTGAAAATTTTAGACTGCTTTCAAATTTCCTACCGTGAAGTCGAAAGTAGCCGGTGACGGATGTACATTTGGATGAGAATTTTGATCGTCCTTGATCTTTCCTCGAGGATTTTATTCAATTGTATCCTCAAGTTGTAAAGTAGATGCATACCCCAATGTCAGTGACACAAAAACATTAATACAGTATTTCCAAAATAATAACACCCAATTAGACATGAATTGAACCTGAATTCAACGAACTTGCGATCGTTTTCATGAAAATACGTTTTTCTGATGAAATTGGTCCAAAATTTCCCATTAGAACCAAGTATAATGCACAGAAGGCAAGTTTTTATCGAAATTTCTAGCAGAAAAATCTGGGCGCGTGTGGTACTCAGGTCAACGAAGGAATTTTTTGAGTTTTGTAATTTGATAGTTTATACACACATAAGAGAACAAGAGCACTGAATCAGTCTGCGCATTGATGAAAAATCCCTTGGGTTTTGTTGCAGACAGCCGACGGCATTCCGGACGACAGGAGAGGAATCGGCGACGGGTGGGCTGGCACAGATGAGCCCCACATGAGCCGCGGTCGAGCGGCGCAGCAGCAGCAGCACCACCACCAACAACAACATCAACAACAACACCATCATCAACACCACCACCACCAGCAGCAGCAGCAGCACCATCACCTCATGGACACGGACCCGAGCCGCCGCGACAGTGTGGAACAGGCGCACTGCGGTGCCGGGGGTGGTGGCGCCGGCGGCGGCGGAGGAGGCAGCAGCGGCGGCGGCGGTGGTGGCGGAAGCAGCAGCCACGGGGCGCCTCCCAATTCCGCCGGCCACAGCGACGACGCCTCCAGTGGCTACGGAAGCCCAGACTCGGTCTGCTTGGAGACGCGATGAATCGGCACCCCCCCATTTGCCCGCATGGCTCCCCGGCAATACCATTTATAGTCCAATCCTGTTCGACACTCATTATCCCTGAACGTGTTTTGTTTTCTACAAAAGGAGAAAAATTTGTTGAGAGTCAGGGAGGTCGGGAAGTTATTTAATTAGCGCAAAAAAAAACAAGGGATTGTCTGAATGTGATGATGGATTGTATTCCACCTTTGTCACCCGCAGTGCTCACGCAAAAAAAAAAAGAGTTTCGTTGAATATCAAACTCCCACGTTTGGATCTTGAAAAACCATTCGCTTGCCTCATTTATTTTACACACTATCGCTTTCCAGTTACGACGTGAACTCACGGTTCCAAAAAGTGCAACCGTTGCCAAACGTCCCTGGTTCTTGAGAAGATCTCGTACATCAGTTCCAGCACATGACAAAACTTCAGAATAAGACAAAAATAATTGTGATTATCTTCAATTTTCTTAATCCTCGCTATTCTGGTGCACAGAACGCAGAAAATTAATTTAAAAATTCGCGCTTAGACAACAAATAACTGTTGCCAGTTGTGTACAGTATTAACGAATCATAGAAGGACCCGCGGAATTGAGACAGCCTTCACGCGTACTTCTTTATACTGCACATGGCAAGAAGACAAACTTTCTCTGAAATTCACATATATTTAATTGCAGCGTATCGTCACTGTAGTGAAAACATAAAACATAAATAGTTCGAAAAAGATAGAAAAAGCTTGAATATATTTTTGTCAGCTAAATAGTTCGAAAAAGATAGAAAAAGCTTGAATATATTTTTGTCAGCTGTAAAATATTCAACCGTAGTGGAGAAGTAGTGACAACATATTTTTCGCATTGTAGATTGATCTTGTTGAACACATGATATGAAATATTGTACAGTAATCGCAGTTAATTTTGGAGATTAATTTGCGATTTATGCTGAAAGGTTCATTGCAAAGTCACCATGCTTCAAATCCGGCATCCAGAAAATCACCCTATCAATACTGAATTGTTGAAACAAACTGGTGCTTCCCAATTTATCCGTATTTTTTCTGAAAAAATATCATCAGGTGACACACAAAATATGTGTGCAAAAGAAAAAAAGAGCAAGAAAAACTCCGCGAAATCTTTCCGAGTTTTCAGAAATTCGACGCAGCACGTACGCGGAAAACGGGAAACGCGTAACATATTCAAGGCGTGATGATTACATTTCAACAGATTTACTTTACAAGTGCCAAGTTGCGCTTGGGCGCATAATCTTCAAATCTCCCCTTTTCTGCCAAGAATATTTAATCTCCTTTATTTCTTCAACCCGCGTACCTCGATTTATCCTCGCACACATCCCCTCCATTTTTTTTTTCTTGCCAAGAGCGGTTTTCCGATGCGCAGAAAGAAGTTTTCCGGCTTGTGCGAAGTCACGGATTGAGACCTTGCTTCTAGAAATCGCGGCTCTCGAGTGCTACTCTCCCCGACGGGGTTCTTTTCCCTTTCGGGTGTGGAAAAAAAAAAGAAATTAAAGTATTCGTGTTGGGCGGAGGAAGCAGGAGGAAAACGTAAAGGTGCGAATTGCGCCTCGGCACGAACTCGGTCCGAGCGAGAAAAGGATTGCGTCCTTTTTGCACCTCCTCGTCACTGCCGAAAAAATTTGCCGGTGCGATTCCGCAGTCTCGGGCAGCCCGTTGCTGAAATTTGAAGCATGATTTTTCAACGAACTGGCATCAGGCGCACCACCGTGGGTACTTGGGCACCAAGCGCGTGGTACCGCAGGATTGCCCTCGGAGTCAAGGTCAACCTTGCCAAGATTAACACTTACGAAGTTGAGTTTTGATGCACGAAACAACTTGTGACTCAGAGCCAATATATATCACCACGCGTTCGTTCGCATGTTCGAAACATGCGTATCACGTTTTGCCAGCCAATGCATAACATGCAGCAAGTGGTACATGAACGATACATGACTTGAGAGTGGTACATACATTATGAAAGGTCAAAACCAGTTGTAAAAACCGGAGGAGGAGTTATACAAGGAGGAGGAAGAATTTAATCGAAACTACTTGCGACAGCAAAAATAAGGATGAGTAGATAGATCAGCACCCACCTTAAACATTGTACTGTGCAAGGTAGTTCCTCAGATAAAGTTTCATTTCACACATTCGTAATTCGACTTGGAGTCAACAGTAGAAGTTCTTCAAAATAAATACTGTATGTTAACTCGAACTAACACATGATTTATGCAGATTCTTCCGTTGTATTCGAATGAAATCCTGGAAATACCATCTACCCTCTTCCGAAAGTTTACTTGAGTAATGCAATTGTCAAAAGAAAGCATTTTAGAGAAGTTACTCAATCCGCAGCTATACTTTTTTTAAATCTCAAAACTGCGTCTGAAAAGCATTGTTACAACTATGTCATGCGCTCTTGAATCAACGCCGTGTAATTCTTACTATGACCCAGACCTCAAGTGGAAGTGACTGATGATGAAAATTCAACCAGTTTCAATTTAATTCTCCGTACACATTTTCTTTCCGATTCGTCAAAAATGGTCGTTCAATAAAAAAAATTAAGAAGTTCGTTGGGTCAAGATGATGACATGGTGACAACTTCATAATTTTCCTTCTGTAACAAAAAAAAAACAGCTTCACATAAGAAGGTTATTGATTCCTGAATAACGCGTTCGTTCAGCTAAATAACTTGGCACACAAATTCAGCGTGATCACGGGTTCATTCCAGTACACTCCACAATTCTGTTTTCGCAAAAGCCACAAGATTCTAAGACACTTCCTGCCTTTACACACGAATACGATCTATATGCTGTAGAATGGATATTCGATTTGCCGGCTTATCTCTCCCTAGGATAATCTAATAACACAAATAATCTAAAATTATTTTTTAAAATCTTGAAAATTAAATAAAACAATTTTAGAATTATTCTGAAGAATCTGCGGACAGAGCAACACGTTTATTGGATAAATTACCCTCATGTTGAAATGATTTGCCGTGCGTGGTGAATTTCTGCTGCATTTGTAAGACATACTATTTCGTCGGCTTCCTCTGATGACTCTTAATCAAGAATACTCTCACAAATAAATTCAAGCATTTTTTTTTTACCTCATTCGAAATATCGCCATGGGTGAAGGAAGCCTGGATAAGCAGGGTTCTATTGAACTGTACTTGTACTGTACCCCCCATAACATTTCTCTGAGTGACATCTATCCGGGACAAAAGAAATACTTTAAACAGCATGGTCGCACGAGAATATGCGAAGATCGGAAGCGTGGCGCGAAGCATAGAAGATCGCAAAACATCCCGAAATATCCGATATTCTGGTCCTTCTTGACAAAATACCAAATCGGAAAACTCTCCCAAGATTTGTATGCGTCAAGCGCGTCCGAGTTTCCAAGACCATTCGCAGGCAGAAAACGAGAAAAGTCGCAACGAAAACCGCGTCTCCCCCCGCGGTGAGAGAAGAGACTTACATATAGCGACAACCACAAAGGAAGCTTCATCAACAGCGTGGGTAAACGAACGCTGGCCCAACAAAGCCACTCATTGTTATTCCACAAGTCTCGAAGTCTGCTAAGACACACACGACCCGAGGTTTGCCAGCAATCCTTTTTTTTCCCTCTGTCCCCTCTTATTCTCCCACTCCGACCCGTTCTCAAATATTGAATTTCTGCCCATCAGAAACTGCGCCTCGGATCACAAAGACCGGCAAAGTGGCGGGGATACATTCACTTTTTTTTTATTCTTCCATGCACACGTATATACAGTATACGCCCACGTCTTGTTTGCACGTGTGTGTGTCCTCCGCACCACCACCACCACCACCAACACCGCCACGGCTGTCGCCGCCGCCGGAAATCAAGAGGCGTTGAATTTTTCCCGTCCTACACTGCCCACGACCAGGTCGCAAATTCGTTACACACGAGTCCCGGGATTTTGCATCCTGCAGGCTATGAATATTCCGTGGGCAGCAGCAGCACCGACTGAGCCCTTGGTTTCGTTGTGCACACATGCACAGTGCTACAAATGCCACCTGTATCCCTCGAGGGGAAGGGAAGGGCTTGGGAAACCAACCGAGCTTCTTTCAACCTACACTCCACCGAAATTGTTACGCAGTTAGGCATGCGGTGGACTTCTTCCTTTTCGGCGGAAGAAGATGGGTAAGTCGAAAAGGTAATGAAATACTCGATAGATGTAAACAAAAAAGGACAACCTTAGAAGAACAGTCTCAAATTAAAGATGGACTCTCTCTACAAAGTTATACTCTGTATAACAAAGTTATACGAGGTCCCTCGGAATTATCTCCCCAAGTTTTGGAGGCTCTCTACGACAAAATTCTCTCTACAGCGAATTGTTTCTGGTCCCATGAGTTTCGTTGTATGGAGAGTCAACCTGTACTTGTTAAAATGACAATAAGTGTATTTTTCAGTCCATAAAAAAATAAATAACAACGAACGCGCAGAATTTGGGCAGAGACTTCATTAGCATTGTGCTCTTCCTCTTCGGTATCTCAGGAATGAAGCTCGATAATTTTGAATAAAATCG